ACCATTTGCATCTTGACTAGCAATGCCCCAGGGTTCCAGTTTCTCCACATCCCTACTAACATTTGATGGTGTCTGTTTTTGTTATTGTATATTGCAGCCATTTGAGTGTGTATGAGGTCGTATTTTGATAAGCTTTAAATTTGTTTATTTTGCATTTTCCTAATGACTAGTGATGTTGAGAATGTTGCCATATGCCTTCATATATTTTTTTTTTCTGAAGAAATGACTATTCAACTCTTTCCCCCCACTTCTTAATTGGGTTCCTTGGTTGTTGAATTACAGAAATTGTACTGAAATTAATCCCATTTCAGATACATGATTTAAAAAACGTTCTCCCATCCTCTGGATAGTGTCGTTTAATTCTGCCAAAGTCAAATTTGCCCGGTTTTAATCTTATTGCTCACCAATGTAGTGTCACATGTATAAAATACTTTTTTAAAAAGACAGTATGAGAGTTGTTATCATAGTATGATATTTAGCGTTCACAGTTATGGGCTTGATTCAGTACCACCGGAAAAGTTACTTCATCCTTTTCCCATTTCCTCATGTTTGTAAAGGAGCATCCGTGTGTCTATCTGTAGGACTGTTGTTAGTGTTAAAAGATAAGTGCAAGGCACAGTGAACCATTATTCCTGGAACATAGTGTGTGCTCAATAAAAATCACTATTGTTAATACTATTATATTTGGAAAGTTCACTTGGGAAGCATGTAAGAAGCTGATTAGTTTTATGGGGCAGAAATATTAATGGTAGTTTAAGTTTAGCACAAAGAAGAAAAAAACATTATTTAATCCAACATCGTGAAGGTTTATGCCTATGTTTTCTTCCGAGAGTTTTTTAGCTTAGGTATTTGATCTGTTTGGTGTCACTCCGTTATATGGTGTGAGGGAGGGCTCCATCGTCATTATTCTGCGTGCGGACATCCAGCACATTTGTTGAAAGGGCTATTCTTTCTCCATTGAGTTTCCTTGGGAGCTTTATCAAAATCAATTGATTATTTCTGGACTCTGGATTCTATTCTAGGCCTCTCTATATCAATACTGTGCCAGTACCACGCTGTGTTGACTATTTTAGCCTTGTAGTGAATTCAAAGCACAAATTCTCTAGCATTTTTCTTTCATTTGTCTCCAACACAAAACTTTTGGTTTTGTTGATTTTTTCTCTATTCTTTATTAATTCTGACTGTAACCTAAGTGTTCCTTGGATTTGGTTTGCTCTTTCCTCCTTACAGTTTTAAGGTGGAGCGTCAGGATTCTGACTTGAGGGCTGTGTTCTTTCTCCATAAGATGCTGGTAGCTACAATTCCCCTCTGGATGGTGTTCCTACCTCCCGCTCCCTTGACTTCTTGTCACCTTCTTGCTCATTTTCCTCCCTTTCCATCTTCCTGCTCCTTGGTGACCCTTCTCTGCTTGATCCTTCCTGAAAGAAGCCAGACAACCCGTGGCTGGGGCTTGTGCTGAGTGCCTAGTGGTACCGTCTCGCACACCCTCCCTCCACAGCAGCCCCTGTGAAGAAGGGGGGCTTATCACCTCCACTTTATCACTCATGCACCTCAAATGCAGAAAGTTTAAGTAACTCGTCGAGTTCTTTTAATAGTATAAATCAGATTCGGCATTTGCTCTTCTCCTTCCACTCTCTCCCTGGGGGAGTTCTGTAGGATTTAGTGCTATTTTTGTATGGATGACATCCCTGTATCTATCATTAGCTTGTAGATCTCTGCTGAGCTTCTAAACGAAAGCCCCGTCACCTACCAGATGTCTCCCCCCCTGCCCTGCAGGCCGGACCCCTCTGCAGCTCCTTCCTGGCCACTACCTTGTCTCCAAACCTCCTTCCCGTGTCTGCCCTTTGGGTAATAACGCTGGCTCCTTCAGACTGACTCCCAGATGCCAGTTTACACCAACTTCCTGCCCTGGGATGAATGTTAGTGTTATTTCCTGTATTTGTTCCTTTCCATAAAATCCTTTCTTCTGACGGACATGCTTCTCATTCCCCAGCCATCTGGTGAGTTGCCTCCCGGGCTCCAGGCAGAATTCGATGTCCCACTAAGTTCTTCTTGAGTCCTTGTGTGTAATTTCATGATAGCATCCTCCACATGGGGTGTAATGTCTCCATTCTTGAGGTTTTCTGCTATCTACTGCTAGAAGGTGAGCATTGAGGTTGCATAGTGTGTAGAAGGTATTGCATAAAGCTTGTGAAATAAATGAATAGTTCTAAGGTGAGGGAATATTATTTACAGCTGGAATAAGACTTGTTTGAGAGAGAGGTCATTGCAGAGTTATTGCCCCAGATCTCCCTCACAAATGCACATTAAACATTAGTCCCACCAGGGACATTATTCCTGATATCCCAGGTCTGATCAGGTGGTTCCTTTAGATCTCTCTTTTGCAGAACTAGTAGTGAGATATATATATATATATATATATATATATATATATATATATATATATATATATCATCTCACTCAGGATTGTGGTGCTCGGGATTGAACCCAGGGCTTTATGCATACAAGGCAAGCACTCTACCAACTGAGCTATACCCCCAGCCTGTGATGTACATTTTTAAATATTTGTGAAGTTATATTTTTTATTCCGTCTGCTCCACTTGATTCTGAACTCTATGAGTAGACACTGCGTAGGTCTCACTTCTGCACAGTTGTCTCCTGTTCCTTCATCCAGAGCCTGGCCTGTAGCCAAAGCTCAATTGATATTTATCTGGACAAATGAAAAACAGTCACCATGATTCTTTTTATGTTTGGTAGTTGCTATCTCTATTTTGGTTGCTAGTTTTATTATGGAGATGCCTTAGCACCAAAGAGAAATGCTCACATATTCAGCAAACTCATAAAAAAAGCAAATCCCGTGGACCTAGAGATCTTTGGGTGATATTGGGATATGGGGCTTGTTAGGACGGGTTTTCTTCCAGCTAGATTCTTGGACTCAGTTCTGGAGTTAAATAACCATAATACTAAACAAGTCTGAGTGAGAAAACCAGATTCCAAGCCTCACTTAGAGAATGCAGAGAGGACCTTCCAATCAGATTCCAAATGCCACTACTTGTTTTTTTTTTTTTTTAGATTTAACTTATATGACAATTTATTTAATTTGTCCCAACCCTACACTCTTGGGTTGATCTTGATTATTTCATGAGCATTGAATACATCAAACTCTTCATCAGGCTCTCTTTTAGTCTTTTCTTGTTAATGAACTTCCTGACACTTTTCTATTTCTTCTTTTATCATAGATGCTTCTGCAGTTTCTTTGTAGTTCTAGGATTCCAAAGTATGCACAAGAACAACTGAGGATTTGATGGAGCTAATTTGTAGGCAGATGTGCGTGTTGAAAGCAGAAGACGGGAGGTTGCAGTCTGGACTTTGATCTGACATTCTGTCTGCCAGGAGATTATATATATATTCATTGCCTAAACCCATTTCCTCCCATTGTTAATTATGTTTAATAATTTTTACTGGACTCTGAAAATGATTTTGCTCAGCAATGCTTATTATTATTCCATAATTACTCTAGGAATAGAAAGGGGAAAATGAGTACAATGCTTGTCTGCAGAAATGAATGGATTCCAGGATTCGAATCAGATTTACCTCTCGGTCTTAGTTTAAAAAATGTGAAGATTGCTTATTTCTCTGTTTTCTGCATGTTATGTCCTTCCTTGCCAAAGAGGAGACAGGATAAAAGATATTTGATGGTTTATAAATGAAAAAAACACATGCACAATTCCCATGGACCAGGGTTCAGGTTTGTAATGGAGGGAACTTCCATTCTACTTAGTTTTAATGACTGCTAATAATTTTAATGACAGCGAGCCTGGTGATATTCCATTCCTTGTGATTCTTAAAAATAAAACACATCATTTTAGGTTTGATGAATAAAACGACTATCCAAGCTTCTTGGTTAATTTTTAAGTCTTTCTACATGGTGGTGATAATCTATGCTTGAGTAATGTCCAGGAAACCATGACCAGCCCTTTCTACAGACAGCCTGTGGCTGGCCTGGCATCCATAGTACCTTGGTTGGTGGCCCAGTCTTGTTCCTCACTGGCTGAATAACACTGTAGTCCTGAGCCCTTCTGTGTTTCCAGTTTCAGCATTGAACATCAGAAATAGTGACACCAGCTTCTTCGAGGTGGTGGGATTTCATGAGTTAACATGAACTCTCAATAAATATTAAAAGCTTCCTCATTCCTCCCTCCCAGTATAAAAAAAAAAAAAATCACACATGCTGTGTGTGTGTGTGTGTGTGTGTGTGTGTGTCTTCAGGGCATTGGTGAATTTCTCATCTCCCCCCATTGCCTATTCTTGATTCTGTCCCTCTTGGGCTGACTCTGCATCTCCTTTTTTTTTTTTTTAAATTTCTTACATATATGACAATAGTGGAGTGCATCACAATCATAATTATCCATTCACAACGCCATTTTTTGTAACTCTGTATATAAAGTATGTTCACTCCAAATTATGCCATTATACATGAGCTCTTTATTATTATTATTATTATTATTATTATTATTGTTTTGCATTACAATTCTTAATACACCTTTATACCACAATTCACCATATCTCTGATTGTACATAAGGTATGTTGACACCAAACTCACATCTTCATGCATGTATCTTGTATAATGATGAGGGTCTCCTTCCACCATCCATGCTATTCCCCTTCTCCCTTCCTTTCCCTCCCACCCCTATTCCCTATCTTGAAGACTCTGCATCTTCTCCCTGAGCAGAGGGTCTGTGTGTGACGAAAGTTGCTCAGAGTCGAGATCCAAGAAGGAGAAAGAGACTGGTTCCAGTTAGCTCCTGCGCAGATGAGCTGCCCTGTGGGAAGCTGAGGACTGGCCAGATTTATCGAATCTAGAATCGTGGATGTTTCTGAATGAGATCTCCTCTTAGGCTGGGAGAGCGAAAGCAGAGTCAGAAAGAAAGCAAAGGCACACTGTTCAAAGTTGGTCTTTTATAAATTAACTCTCTCCCACACCTGGTTCCTTTGCTAGGTGTCTCCGGGTGGACGGTCGGAGCCCCCCAGCAACATGCCTGAGCAGAGCAATGACTACCGGGTGGCCGTGTTTGGGGCAGGGGGCGTTGGCAAGAGCTCCCTCGTCCTGCGGTTTGTGAAGGGCACCTTCCGGGAGAGCTACATCCCGACGGTGGAAGACACCTACCGGCAGGTGATCAGCTGCGACAAGAGCATATGTACCCTGCAGATCACCGACACCACCGGGAGCCACCAGTTCCCGGCCATGCAGCGCCTGTCCATCTCCAAAGGGCACGCCTTCATCCTGGTGTACTCCATCACCAGCCGCCAGTCCCTGGAGGAGCTCAAACCCATCTACGAGCAGATCTGCGAGATCAAAGGGGACGTGGAGAGCATTCCCATCATGCTGGTGGGCAACAAGTGCGACGAGAGCCCCAGCCGCGAGGTGCCCAGCAGCGAGGCGGAGGCCCTGGCGCGCTCCTGGAAGTGCGCCTTCATGGAGACCTCGGCCAAGCTCAACCACAACGTCAAGGAGCTCTTCCAGGAGCTGCTCAACCTGGAGAAGCGCAGGACCGTGAGCCTCCAGATCGACGGCAAAAAGAGCAAGCAGCAGAAGAGGCGAGAGAAGCTCAAGGGCAAGTGCGTGGTCATGTGAACGCCTTTCCCCGAGGAGCCTCTGCTGTCCCCCCGGCCTCGCCCCTTCCCCACCCCACGTGAACCGTCGTCCGGGCAGCATGTCCGATGCCCACGTGTTGAACATTGCACCTGACCGAGGCCCGCCCTAGCGTCCTGAAGAAGGCATCCCACACCCCCACCAATAATGATGACAAGCCACCCTTCCGTGGAGCTGCCAGGCGGTGACCAGGAAAGCCAGCACGCTCAGCATCCCAGGGAACTGAGGGAGGTGACAGTCATCTATGAGGGCGGCTTCTGCCATGAGGAGGTAGGAAGACCCATACCCTTCCAAGCAGGAGGAGCTGGGAGGGCTGAATGTCATCTACCGGCACGAAAGAGAGCCAGAGCTACTGGCACCAACTCCAAACCAGCCATTTCTCTCTGCTCAGAAGTCAGTTACATCTTTGGGGGGAGGAGGGAACGATCAGGCAGAGTTCGTGGGAAAACCAGTTGGTCCAAAGTGAACCACGGTGGCTCCCTTCCATAGATTTTTAACTGTATTAAAGATAAAGTAAGACAGCCTTCCTCAAAGGATGTGCATTCTCAGTTAATTCCCACCTGACCCTACCCTAAAGGGATGTATTCACCTCCTACAGACCTAGTGAGCAAGTGTCATGTTAACTTACTACTTATTATTTATTTTCACATACAAGGATGAGTTCACTAATAGCACACTGCTGTGTCAGAAGTTCTTCGATTTTTGAGTAAAGGTATTGTGACATTGTTATTCAAACATCGCAATAATGTTCCTGTGTTATACTTTGAGGGTTTTAGAATGTGAAGTTTCTTTCCTTTCGCCCGTGAGGGCTATAACTTCTACCCCTCAGATTTTAAATTCAAGCAAATAAAGTAGCTATTTTTAGAATAAAAAAATTCCCCCTCCCCTCCAAGATTTTTGTTTTCCTCTTTAATAACTTGATCTGTACCCAGCTGGGTAATAGCCAACAAAGGCCATCCAGTGACCAGAAGCACATCATTTTTCTAACTGACGTGAACATGTATATGCTACACTTTGCACCTTCATGAAATATTTTGCAACAGAAGTTGTTCACTGTGTTTTTGATGACCTATCCAAATCAGGACTGTATTCCTGGACAATGCATTTAATCAATAGCAAACTCTTGCATGTTCTATTACACACATCCTTAAAGAGCTGTTCAATGCAGTGTCCACCCTAGAAACCATGGTCCTCTTCTCTTAATGATTGTGTGTGCATCCTTAATACTTCAAACCAAATTCCAGCCACTGGTTCCTGCAGGAGGCATGGGAGGTGATGGTGTCTGTAGACAGGCTGGCTGTTCTGTCCTGGGCAGAGCCTACTCAGCTTAACCATTCTGCCATGGTGGTTGGGCTCTGCTTCTTGAGAAATTCCCACAAAGCCTGAGTTTTCCTGTTTTAGTCGGCAGAATGCATGCCTGCCCCAACTGGTGGATCATCCTCTTGGCCATCTGGGCAGGCAGCAGTACCACGCTTCTTGCAGACAGGGTCTTCTGGATGTTGGGCATCAGTGCCAACCCCAGGCAGGGCTTCCCAGCTGGAGATGTTACACAAACTGCCTTCTGCACCTGCTATTTTGATGACCCTTCCTATGCAGGGTTTCCTGTCACAGCCACATAGACACCTTCATCCTCCAAAGCATACTTGTGCTCTCAGTATTTCCTAGTTTCCTTTAGTCCTTTCTTATTCAATTCCCTTATCTGGTCTTATCCCGGGGCTCTACCAGTGACTCTCCCTGGTGATGTATTTAGTGTGTAGGAGGTGCCTTCGAGAATCTCTTGGCTTCAAGGTCTTACCATCTCTTTGGGATTCTAGAAAAAAATTCCCTTGTCTTTACCTGGGGAAATGATCATGCCGAGAAAGGGAGCCAGCAGGGAGCTCAGATAATTGGGGCATTTCTAGGCCCTCTTTAAATTCTTCATACAGGTGCCTTCCAAAGGCCATTCCATGGTATTCCATAACATTCCCAATGAGATCTCGTTGTTGGATATTCTGGAACATGTTTTTCAACATGTCCCTACATAGTTTTTCCTATTCTCAGAGATTATTAGTTTGTCACTCGAATGTGAAGGAAATGGAAGAAGTTACAGAACTTTATGGCGAACGGGGATTGTCCAGAGTTGGGTGTGTTCTTTCTAACAGTAAACTATGATCTTTGCCACCAGCTGTCATGTTAATAAGGCGTTTATTGTGAATGCTTCCTGCCAAGTGTCCCATTTCCAATTCCCACCCAAAATGAGTCAGGATTTCTTTCCTTGGAAGCCAATTTCTCCATGTTTGAGTGCTTGGGGCTTCATCAATTTGAGGAGCTTATAATTCTTGACAATCTGAGCTCACTCAGGATACACTCCATTCCTTTGTTCTTTGCCTGAGGGTTTATAGAGTAGGAAGAAAGGAAGCCTTCATCCTGGGGCTCCATTCTGCCATCATTTTTTGTGAACCCAGCTGAGGATGGTTATATCATCCTCGTCTTTCAGGAGCTCCCCAACTGACTTAGGACTTGAGGGGTTAGTAGCACTAAGCAGGTGGATTTCAACATGTGCTTGTTCCCATCCTCAAATATGGAGTGGTGATTCCTGAGAATATGTCCTATACTGCACATGGGTACAGATGTTTTTTAACCCAGTCCTAGAAAGTTATAAAACTCAAAATATTGCTTTGAAGATGGCACTGTGGGATTACGCATGGGGCTCCATGAGTTCCCTTCTGTCCCCACTGGTCCCCTCTCCATCCAGTGACAAGCCATTGGCATGCATACAATGCAGCAAGACCAACGCAAGAGCAATATTGAATTGTTCACTCTATCTAAAATTATATATATTATATAGTTTATCTTCCTGTGTTTTTGAAATATTAAAGTAGTAAACTGTACATATCTGTAAGCTAGTATATTTGTTTCACTGTTTGTAATATTTAAGAAAGGCTCATTCTTTGTAGAACAAAAGATGTACTCAATATTTTAAAAAATTGCTCTGTGATACTTTTTTTCTCCCCCAAATTTGTAATGTGTTGCACCTACATAAGCTCTCTGGAAATATCCATAACGAATGGGACACGTGTAAATCCCTGAAGATATCTTGGAATTCAGTAGCCCACAGATCGTCTGTAGACAAAGTATTTGCAGAGCATGACTTTTATATGTGTGGGATATCAATATGTATATTTATATTAAGGTGTATCTATTGTTACAATTCCATTCTCTTATATTTTATTTACTCTGCAGGTCTAAAAATCACCCTTGCATACAAGTTTCTAGTTGCAGTGATGTTCTGAAAATCAAGGAACATATTACAATAAAGTTTCAGATAATGACACCCTGGCTGGGAGGTGCTGATGTCTCTTGTCCGTAAGTGTGTGGTGGATGTGTGATGGTCTTCACTGGCTGCAGATGTGTATGCTGGCCAGCTTATGATGGGATGTCTTGGGAGACCTTGGGAATGGGGAAGTCCTGCTGATCCCTGTCACTGGGTGGAAATGAAGTTGATGTTTCACACAGGGACAAATGAAAGGGAAAGGGTAGAGGGGCCCACTTGGCTCAAAATAGGAGGGGAGAAAAAAACTGTTCTTTCAACTCTGCACCCTTCCCCACTCCAGGCTATGAAATGAGTTTGTGATAGAAAACCTACGTACCTTCTGCAAGGTGGGTGAGACTCAATCAAGAGGAGCTTAATGATCATAAAGCGTTTGAAGGTGTCGTGTCACATAGTGAGCTTTCAGTGGTGACAAATGAAACCAGCAGCCCACAGGACTCTACCTGGAAAGTTCACTGCAGTGTGAAAATCAATCTATGCAAGTAAAGAAACCACCAGCAACTTCCCATTTCTTGAAGCCTCTCTGTCCTGTTTTCTGCCAGCCACTCCCTACTCCAGTCTCTGTCTCCTTTCAATTCTTATCCCCCATCAGTGTCGCTACATTATTCAGAGTTTCCCGTTTATGCAGATAATTACAATTAGCAGGTCCCATTAGGCCCCATTAAAGGACATTCTGGTACTTATTAAACTTTAATGTGCAAATGAAGCACTCAGGGCTGGGATTCAGAAACCTCTGAGAAGGTGGGGTGGGACCTGGGATTCTGCATTTCTGGCAGGCTCTACTAGAGGCCCACAGACTGCTCCTTTTCCTTTTCCCAAATGAGAAACTGTTTTCCCTGTTCTTATTGGTGTATTATCATCATGTTGAACATGATGGTGAAATTTGTTGTTACATATTCGCACACACACTCCATACAACAAAAGAATTTGGCCAATATCATTTCTCTTTCTCTTCCCTTCCCTTCTCCCTTTCTTTCCTCTGCTGATCTTTGAATTTTTAGGGAGATCGCCCCCTGCCACACATGCACGCATCTTTCTTTTTTTTTTTTTCATTGATTTAAAAAAAATAAACCACAGCGGAATGCATTACAATTCTTATTACATGTGTACAGCACAATTTTTCATATCTCTGCTTGTATATAAAGTATGTTGATACCAATCCGTGTCTCCATACATGTACTTTGGATGATGATGTCCATCACATTCCACCATCCTTGCTAACCCCCTGCCCCTTCCCTTCCCCTCCCACCCCTTTACCCCATCTAGAATTCATCTGTTCCTCCCATGTTTCCCTTCCCTACCCTCCTATGAGTCAGCCTCCTTATATCAGAGAAAACATTCAGCATTTGTTTTTTGGGGGGATTGGCTGACTTCACTTAGCATTATCTTCTCCAGTGCCATCCATTTACCTGTAAATAACATGATTTTATTCTCTTTTATTGCTGAGTAAAATCTGGTTGTGTATATATGCCACATTTTTTTTTTAATCCATTCATCCACTGAAGGGCATCTAGGTTGGCTCCACAGTTTAGCTATTGTGAATTGTGCTGCTATAACCATTGATGTGGCTGTGTCCCTGTAGTGTGCTGTTTTTAAGTCCTCTGGGTATAGACCACAGAGAGGGATAGCTGGGTCAAATGGTGGTTCCATTCCCAGATTTCCAAGGATTCCTCCCTAGCTTCCACATGAGAGAGACAATGTAAACCCCTTGACCTTCAGGTTTGGCTTATTTCACTTTATCTTCTCAAGTTCATCTATTTCCCTGCAAATGATATAATTTTATTTTTCTTTATGGCTGAATAAAACTCCATGGAGTATCTTACCACCTTTTCTTCAACCATACATCTGTTGATGGACCCCTAGGCTGGTCCTATAGTTCAGCTATTGGGAATTGTGTTACTCTAAACAGGGGTATGCTTGGGTTGCTTTAGTGTGATGCCTTTAAACTCTTTAGTATAAATACTGAGTTTATTTTTGCTGGGCATAGACCTCTCTCTAGGAGCAAGGCTATAATCTACTTGTTTTCCAATTTTGCTGCACTTTGAAATCACCTGGAGAAGTTTGGCTGACTCCTGATTCTCAAATCTCTCTCCAGAAATTATGATTTAGCAGCTCAGAAATGTGGCATCCTCTCAGGGTATTTACAAGGCCCCAGGTAATTATGGAATCAAGTTTAAGAACAGCTGCTATTAGCCAAAGTTAATTGCAAATGCTGGCCAACTCCCTAAACCTCCCGGGGTAGTGTGAGGGAGGGGTTGCTTGCAAACCAAGTTCCCTCTCAGTGAATATTTTCCAGGTAGCACATTGGTGGTATCTGTATGAGGCTGTTGGTCTCTTCTATTACAGTATCTCCCAATGTCACTGAGAGAAAATTGTAACTCAGGCATAGAGTTGGCACCCACCTGTGCTACCTGGGAGGAACTACATCAGTGCCAGGTGTGAGGTGATGTTATTTGTCTTGGATCGGAGCTGTCACAGCTGTCTAGAGTGTCCAACCCTCACCCTGACCTAGTCTCAGTATGGCGCGTGCCCCATTCTTGGCAGGGACTCAAGTTCCTTTGGCTCCTGGGAATACAGAAGACCCAGCTGCAGTGCTACCTTGCAGCTGGGGACTATGTTTGCACGGTTCCTTTGACTCAAGGTACTAGCTCTGCCCAGCCAATGTGCTTCCTCACACTGGGCCATGAACGCTCATGCCTTTATATTTTCCCATTTCTGGATTATTCTCACTTACTTTCCATCTTCATTGACTTTTTCTTAAGTAAAAGAGGTTTTTATCCATCCTGATCTATCCCAAGTCTTCATGGACCCAAAGAGGCAGGCATCTGTCTGACATTTTAATACCACTTCCATTGCCAGAGTACCCTAGTTATCATAAGACTGCGTTCATTATTGGTTTCCCTTTATAACTCCTTAGTCTCTTTGCCGCAAGCAACATGGAAGGGGTTAGTTTAGGTCACAGTGTACTATTACTCAGCCATAAATGGATGGATCTGGAGACTATCACACTAAGTGAAATAAACCAATCCCACAAAACCAAAGGTGGACTGTTTTCTGTTAGACAGAAGCTAACCCACAAAGGGTGTTTGTGTGGAGAATAGAAGTTCAGTGCCTTAGATAAAGGGGAATGAAGGGAAGGGAGGAGGAACAAGAAAAGGAAAGACAGTGGAATGAATCTGTCGTGACTTTCCTATGTTCATGTATGAAGACCCCAGAGTGAATCTCACCCTCATGGGCATCCACAAGAAATGAACTTAAAAAATACCTCTGGGTAAATGGCAGAAAGATCAATAGAGGGAAGGAAGCAGAGGATGAGAAAAGGGAAGGAGATGGACAGGTACTGATGTCAGAAAAAGAATAATGTGTACTCCATGCTGGTGTGATTACGTCCAAATGGATTCTCTTGTCATGTATGATTAAACAATGCAATAAGAAGAAAGGAAACCAACATTTTCCCCACTGAACATCTGTAGGCACCATTCTTTTTTTTTTTTTTTTTTTTTTGGTCCTGGGGATTGAACTCAGGGGCACTCAACCACCGAGCCACTTCCCCAGCCCTTTTTTGCATTGTATTTGGAGGCAAGGTCTCTTTTTTGAGTTGCTTAGTGCTTCGCCATAGCTGAGGCTAGCTTTGAACTCCTGCGATCCTCCTGTCTCAGCCTCCCAACCTGCTAGGATTATAGGCATGGGCCACTGTGCCCAGCAGCACCATTCTTAATGATTTTAAGATAAAAGAGAAATAAAGTAGAAGTGAAATCTCTTCTTAATTCTAGCAAAAGTTCTAGACAGCCCTGTGCATGCAAGGCAAGGACACTTCCAATCGAGCTATATCCCCAGCCCCTGCAGTCTTGTTAATAACAAATACACATTGGCATTTAAGAAGTTCCTTTCAAAGTGCTCTTCATGACTTAGTGTGTTCTCGCTGTGCACACATGCTCCAGCACAACAAGAAAACAGCCCCAAAGTCGGGTACTACAGAATACCCTCTTCACTCCCATTACAATGTTAGGATACACATCAGGAACTCAGAGCGGGCTGGGAGATGGGCCTCCACACCTCTGGTTCATATTCTCAAAGACTGGTATTTCTCTTCTTGTCAACTTTCACCTTTTAAAATTCGAATAAGAAATGAATAAAGAAAATCTTTACGATATAAATAAATGAAGTATTGTAAAGGATGAACTTATCAAACACTTGTAGTGTTTTTTTTTTACTCCTGTTTGACAGGCATATTTTTAAAAAATATTTTCCATTTTAATTCAACTTTATTTCTTTATTCGCAGTGCTAGGGATCCACAGCCTTGCACATGATAGGCAAATGTCCTACCACGGAGCAACATTCTCTTTTTCTTTTATTGTGATGGAACAAGGCAGGGCGGGGCAGACAGTTTGGGGTAATTCCAGTGGGCTCTGAGATTTGAGGGCTGTCCCTACTGTTGTCTGTCAGCTGGCCCTCAGATGATGGGGGCAGGGAGAATCTGGTGGAGGAGGTGGGTGGGCTAGACGGGAGATGGGTAGGTTTTGGACTGCTCAGTTTGCATATGAAAGGTGTGCTTTTAGGGATGTCCTTAACTGTTCCTAGTAACTGGCTAATCCTGAGAGGGGCATCCCTCCAAATTAGCAAAATCCCAGGTGTCAAGACTCCTGAAATGCAGGAAATAGAAAGGCATAATTTATAGACTGTGGATCTCTCCCATGCCCAGGATGGCAATGTGTCATGAGAGGGTGGAGTGGCTCAATCATCATTTCCCCAACATGTTACAATTTCCCAAACTTGTTGGAGAAATAAAGGAAGGTCATAGCATAAATAATGCAAAATTGCAGGCAAACGCTGATAAACACAGGGGCTGGGAAACACCTTCTAAAGTTGAACGAAGCTGCACACAGTGGCACATGTCTGTAATCCCAGCTGCTTGGAAGGCTGAGGCAGGAGGATCGGGAGTTCAAAACCAGCCTCAGCAACTTAGTGAGGCCCTAAGCAACTCAGCGAGACCCTGTTTCTAAATAA